CACATTGAGATATCCCACCTTTTAGCAATAGTGGGGCTTGGACACAGGACCTTTGCACTAATTGTCATCAGTCCTTTTTATTTTGAGACAGGATCTCATTAAACTGCCTACGGCTAGGCTCCAAGTTGTGTGTGATCCTCCTGCTCAGCCTCCCAGAGTACTGAGATTATAGGCCTATGCCATGCCACCACCTGGCCTGCTTGGCAACCCTATTTTCTTATTTTCTGAGAGAAGAATCTTACTAAGTTGTTCACAGTGGTCTCAAATTTGCAGTCTTGCCCCAGCCTTGTGAGTAGCTAGGATTGCAGGAGTGTGCCAGCTGCTTTTTTGGTTTCTAAACTTCCTTCCTTATTCTACTCCCCCAGCAACTTAAACAGCATCTATTATATATCACACAAAACAAGATGACTTTGCACTTAAAAGGTATTTCATAACATTGCATAAAGCTCTTGCACACACTTTGGAGTTTTAGAGACTCAGGTTTGAAGTTATTGTCAAAATAGTAATGAAAAAAAAAAGTAACAAATGTTGCTGTCACCCTTTTCAGAGTGTTATGAAGTGTTTCCTCTTTGGGAGGAAGTTGGTATTAGCAGTTGTAGGATAGGGCCCTATAGGCCCACGTAGCTGAGTGTCTAGGCAGTGTTTACTTTGGACTCCTTTATAAGGACCTTTAAGGCTTTTGTAAGCACTGGGCCTTTGTCCAAGCCCTGCATTCTCAGAGCCCTCTTTAGAGTCACATAGAGCAAGCCAGTCTGGACAAGCCCAGCTTCCAGTGCCCACTCTGGGTTGCCACACACCATACATCAGCCCTGATGGTGGCCTGAGGACTGTAGGCAAAGAAAAGACCTTGATCTTCTCCTTGGGACCCGTCTGCTGTCCTTCCCTAGGGGAAAGCCCAGGGCTTCTCCCCAGCCTTGGGAGGCGGCAGTTGTGTCATGTGAGAAGCCTTTCTGTGCTCATCACAGAATAGAGCCCATATAAGAGCATCTTCACCTTTTGTGTGCCATGGAGCAGCCCACTATTTTTTTTTCAGGCCCTGCCTGACACCTGTTTTAGGGTAGGGGTGACTCCTGCTTGAGGTTTTTGGCCTCTGGTCTTCCCTAGGGAGATGGATGGAGACAGGAAGCACAAGCAGAGAGGTAGGAGTCAATACATGGCAGGTCTTTTTCACTGAAGAATATTTTATATAGCAGATAAGTGGTAAAACCATCCCATGATAGCACTGTCACTCTCAACAAAGTTAACAACCCCTGACAGTACAGCAGACAGTACCGAAAATTTCTCCCATTGTTTATAAAGCAAAACTGCTATGTTTTTTTTTTCATTTCATCAAGATATTTTGCACACTAAAAACTCCATGCATTTAGCTGGGTATGGTAGTATGTACCTGTAATCTCAGCACTTGGGAGGCTGAGGGTTGGCATGAGATTGAGGTCAGAATGGACTACACCATGAGTTCAAGGCCGTAATGAACTACATAGTGAGACCCTGTTTCAGGAAAAAACAATAATGTGTACAATTCAGTGATGTTAAGATAGAGTGTTCATAAGGCCAAGGATATAACTCAGAGGCACAACACCTTCCTGGCAAGATAGAGTGTTCATAACGTGCAAATACCACATAGTCTAATTTTAGGACATTTTCAACAACCCAGAAAGAAACACTATAACCATGAGCAGTCTCTTCCTGATTCCTGACCTTCTTGAGCTCCCAGTCTTTCATTTACAATAATATTTTTAGGGTTTGATCCCATGCTGAGTCATATGTCAGTACTTTATTATTTTTATTGCCAAATAACATTCTTTTGCATGAATATACCACATTTAACTTACCAGTTGATGGACAGTTGTTACCATCTACAAGTTATTATGAATAATGCTGCTACGAACATTGTGTTAAGTTTTTATTTATTATTTGTTTATTTATTTTGAAGGAAACAGGGTCTTCAACTGGCCTTGAATTGTTTGACTCTCAAATACCTCTCCTTTCTCTACCTCCTAAGTAACTGGAATGCAGGTGTGTCACCTCACTTGGATACCTCCTGTGCACAGGGATATCTAGTTGTCCTGGCACCACTTCTTAGACATGATTTCCTTACTGGGTCAGATCATTTTGGTACTTTTGTTGAAAATCAGTTGAAGGGGCCGGGGAGATGGCTTAGTAGAATAAGTGCTTGCCTGGCAAATGCAAGGGCCTGAGTTCAATCCCTGGTTCCGGGGGGGGGGGGTTTGGGGGAATCAGTTGACTGTAGATGCATGGCTTATTTCTGGGTTCTCAATTTTGGGTTTTTTTTTCAATCAGTTTTTAAAATTTTTTTTTTATTTTTAGGGTAGAGTCTACAGGGTGTTCAGGGTCATACTACTAGATCGGACTCGTAGTGATCCGCCTACTTACAGCCTCCCAAAAGCTGGGATTACAGGTGTGTGCCACCATGCCCAGTCTCATTCAATCAGGTTTAATTGATACATTTCATTGTACTGTATTTTTTTTCTTTTTGAGACAGGGTCTCACTGTCCAGTTCAGGCTGGCCTTGAGCTTACTTTATAGCCCAGGCTTGTCTGGAACTTACAATGATCCTCCTGCCTCAGCCTCCCAAGTGCTGGTATTACAGGAGTGTACCACCATGCCCAGCCTTTTGGTACATTTTAGGTATGCATAATGATCATATTCATTGCAGAGAATTTGTATCTGTACATGATGTAACTTACTTCTTTTTCACCCCTTCCCCTACCCTCCCTTCAATCCCTTTTCCTCTCCCTATTTACAAAAGGCTTGATTCCTTTTTTTTTTCTTTAAACTTTTCCCTTCTCCTGTCTCTTGCTCCCCTCCCCATTTGGACATTTTCTTCCTATTTCACAATATCAATTATACATTTTGGTTCTTATTTATACTTCTGGTTTCTCACACCAGATAAGCAACTGTGGTGTTTTCACAAGTGTGTTCAGTTTATTTCACTTGTGAGTATGGTCTCAAGGTACATCCATTTACCTAGAAATGTCTCAAGAAGAGCTTATCCTTTTTGGCAGAGTAGATCTTCTTTGTCCATTCAGCAGTTGATGGGCAACAGCAGTATATGCTCACTCATGTTTGTAGCAGCATGGTTTTTAATAGCCAAATCTTATTTTTTGAGGCAAGGGCTCCATGTAGCCCAGGTTAGTCTCAAACTTGCAGACCTTTTGCCTTAGCCTCTTAACTACAGGCATGCAGCACCATGCCCAGCTTCAAGTCTGTTTTGTTGATCTGTGTGTATACCTGTGTACTAGTATCACATCTTTTTTTTTCCAGTTCTGAGTGTGAACCTCAGGGCCTTGTACATACTAGGCACATGTTGTATCACTATGCTATGTCCCAGCCCTATCATACAACTTTGGTTATGATTGTTTTCGGGTTTTTTTTTTCCTTTGGAAATTTTATTTTTTGGTTATGATTGTATAGTGGTAAGCTTTGAAATCTGGAAGCATGAGACTCTGTATTGTTCTTTTTCAAATATCTTTTGGAAATTGAGTGCAATAGCACATGTCTATAATCCCAGCTACTTGGGAGGCTGAGGCAGGAGGATCACAAATTTGAGCCCAGCATGGGCAATTTAATGAGACCCTGTCTCAAAATGAAATAAAAAGGCTGGGAGCGTACAGCTCAGGGGTAGTGCACTTAGCATGTATGAGGCCTAAGGTTTGATCCTCAGCACTAGAAAAAAGAAAAGTTGTAGGTATGCTGCCTCTTGGAAATTCCATGTATATCAGCTTGCCAGTTCCTATGAAGAAGTGAGCTGATTGGATTTGGGCTGGATCTGTAGATTGGAGAAAATTGCTGTTTTGACAGTGTCAAATAGTTTGATCTATTGGAAATTTAAATTTTTATTAAGTTCATCTTTGTTTTCTTTCAAATGTATGTTTGAGGCCAGATTCAGAGATGCATGCCTGTCACCCCAGGTACTCTAGAGATCAAGGGAGGCAGGTCAGAAGTTCAAGGCTACCCTAGGCAATTTAGCAAGAACTTGACAAAAAATAAATAAATAAATTTAAAAAAATTCTGTGAGTGTAGCTCAGTGCAGAACCTGGGTTGAAAGCTAATACTGCAAAAACTAAAATGTGCATTTTTGTTGAATTTGTTCCTTGATTTTTTTTTTATAGTAATGTAAGTAGAATTACTTTTTTAGTTTCACTTTTTGAGCATGAGTTGCATACATCTAGAAATATATTTACTTCATTGTTTTTTGAGACAGAATTTTGCTATGTAGTTTAAGGTGGCTTTTAAATGACCAGGTTGGCCTCAAACTCCTGGTGATCCTCTTGTGTCAGCCTCCCGACATCTGGAATTGCAGGTTTGTGCCACCATACCAGGCTGAGACCACACTTTTAAGTGAAATAAATCAGAAATGTTTAAATATCACATTGTTTCCTTGATGTGAGAAACCAAAGTGGAAACAAGGAGCAAAATGTATAATAGATATTGTGAAATGGGAATAAAAATGTTCAAATGAGAAGGGGAAGAGCTGGGATTATGCTCATGCACCACAACACCCACCTCTAGCCTTAGGTTCTTGCCTGCCTGGAAGTTACCTCACTATTCTCTGGAATTTCCCTCTTGCTCTCTACAGCCACTCTCCACATGCAGCCAGAGGAATCTTTTAAAAATAAAAATCTAGTCACATGGCCCCTACTTCTGATCCTCCCAGGGCACCCACCCAGGGACAGTCTGTGCTTCCTCTTGCGCCATCACCCTGGTCAACAGGCATCACACAGAGAAGGATGCATGCTCCAGGATGAGCAGCATCTGTCACTGGGTGCAGCCGTACACCGAGTTGCCTCTTTCCCACACAGGCAGCCTGGGTTCGGAGCACCATTGTCTGGAACATCATCTGCTTGCCTCTGAGTATGTTCCAGCTTAGGCCTTGGGAGAGTGAGGAGGACCCCTCTGCTGTCACCAGAAAGCTGCTCTACTGCACTGCCTTCTGTTCCGGCCAACTTCACAGTTTTCCCTCTTCTTTTCCTTTCCAGTCTATACAGACCCTGCAGGACCTGCTCACTGATCTTTATGCACTCAAGGTCACAGTGGAAGACCTCAGGAAGGATGTGGACATGCTGAAGGAAATGTTTGAAAAGGTAGTCCCTCCCTTACATTCTCTACACTGGGGTAATAAAGTTCATTCTGTCTCTCTGTCTCTCTGTCTCTCTGTCT